GAGCGCCCCGGCTCCGTGCCCCGCCGCCCTTCCCGAGCAGCTCCCAGGGCTTTTTTGTCTTCCCTGTGCCTGCAAACCCGGTGCGGGCAGAGGAACCTGCCGGTCCGTGGCCAACACCCCCACCCAGCGTCGCAAGGGGGAATAGTCCCTCATTCGGGGCAGAGCTGCTGATTCGGAATTTGCTGCTTGACTCTGCACTCTCCGTGCCAAACCGAAGCCAAAAGGCGCAGTGTAAATGCTCTCCTCGCTTGGAAGCAGGCTCCCTCCCCGCATACAGAGCGCTGCTCTGGGTACCACTTCCCAGCTCGCAACCGCGACCTCTTCGTACACAGCGCTTGGTTTTCCTCTGTGTTGTGTAGGCATTGCAAGATTTGCCACTTCCACTGGATGCACTGCGGGATTTTCCTTCTCTTCTCCACTTGTTAATCAGCAGAGGGCAGTTAGCAAGTGGGGCGGGTCAGCGAAGCACCGCTATTGAATACGAGAGCTGGTGCCAGGGAAAGGTCCCGAAAGCAAATGCTTCACCGTCACACTAGAATGATAATGCTGTTCTAGGACACGTCATCCTAACTGCTGTTTTCTTCACACTGTGTATCACACCTCGCCCAAAGGACACACAACTTTAACAACTTTTTCTCCTTAACTGGCAGGAGTATCCTCCCCTGCCGCCTGCTGACACTTGCACCCACGATAAGGTGTGTCACTGTATAACTCATTCGGGAAAAATGTCCCCAGCCGTACACAAACATCGAAATGCTGCAACCTGTTTTCGTGTTTTGGAAGTATACAGTCCTTTCTCCCCTAACGTTACCACACAGGCTTAGAAATACTTTAAAGGTCCCTGTACTCAGAGGTCAAACCCGAACTCCTGCACCTGTATAAGGATATACGGCCAAGAGCTATTTAATGCAAAAGGCAAGGAAGCAAAGAGGAGAGCTCATAAATTAAACCCCGAGGTACATAAACGCTAACGAGCAGGAGCTAACGGAGACAATAGCAAAGACCAGGGATCTAACGACACCGATCGATGGGCCGTTAAAGGGACCATTCAAGTGTAAACTCCAAGAGGTTCAACAACAGAAAGGGTCGCACAGGAAAGAGCAAACTGATTACGAGGTGTTTGAGGGGGGGTTGGGGAATATGCAAAGCTCATTATGGGATGATTAGAGGCAGGATCAAACTCAGTAAAAGGGAGAGGTCAAGAGGAGACCTGGGAGGAACAACCGTGGGGAAACGGAGGTGAGAGGGGAGAGCGAGGGGTCCTGAGCACGGCCTGGTAGTGCGAGCCAAGATCCGTGCCGGAGACCTGATAAAAACCCCAGGGTCAGGCACTCATCGCCGGCCCTGAGGATCGACTGATACCGCGACTTCTGAGGACCCAGCGGCGAGCTCCGGCAAACGCACACGCGATGTACTGGAGATGCACACAGCTGCCTCCAAGACCAGTCTGCCGCTTACAGAATACAAACATGGAGGAGAAAACAAAATACAGCTTGCACTACATATTTTTGGTTGAAGCAATTTTGATTCAGCTTTTACTATAAAAGGAACCACTCTAATTTTTCATATAGAAAGTATCCTAACCTCCTTGGGTTTGACACCTTTCCTTTAATTTCCTAGGTGTTTTCCCTTTATTTTTGTTTGCTAGAAGGGCTGATACTGTCAAACAATACTCACCAGGTGAAGTCCTGGAAATTCGCTGATGCCTTCATTTGTTTTAAAATAAAAACTTCGTGACTGTATCTAGGAAAAAGTAACAACCAAGGTTGACTTTAGGATTCCCCAGAATTTTAGCTACTAGAGGACTTTGCACGGATGCAGCCATTTTTTGTGATTTCCTCTTATCGCCCTTTGACTTGGAAGCGTGATAGCATCTAAAAGGCTAACCTACACCAAAGGCCAGGTCAGCTTTCTTCCTTTCTTCCCTTCCAGGGACGTGTCCATCTCTCGAGTTTCTGTCATCATCACCAACACAGAAACTTGATGTAAAACCAACCATAGGCCAAGTACAGCAGTAGATGCGTTGGGAATGTGGCTTCTCTCCTCAATTCGTGCCATGCAAAAATAACGGTGACACCCGGAATCCATTTGCTTTGTGCCCTTGCCAGTGCTCCTGCTCAGCTCTTGGCACCTCAGAGAGAGGAAGGTGTATTTGCTTCCCTGTAACGTAACCCTTGGCACCACTACGCAGCAGGGAACAGAACCAAGCTAAGAGCTTCCACAGACACTTCCCTCCCTGACTGCAGTAACCCGGTAACTGTTAGTCCCCTCATTTCAGAAGGGAAATGGTGTCCTTCAGCTTCAGGTGTAGAAGGGTGTAAGAGGAACAGTGATCCTTAACGGAGCACGTGGCTATCATAGTAACTTCGCACATCAGAAGATGCTGCTCTTAGAGTGAAGTTCATGTTCTTTCAGACTTTAGAGAAATGTGAAATGAAGAGGGTCACTTACCGTGCACCACTGGATAGCTAATGCTGGTGTCTTCCGTTGGGTGACAACAATAAAATGGATGTGTATGAGTGGAAAAAAAAAGTATGTATTCTGCCAGACGAAGGCACACTGTGTTTTAGGACAGACTAAGGAACCATAGCCATAATAAGAATGTAATTCGCATAAATGTGTCAGAGAATTCACTTATCTCCTTGAGCACATAGTGATGTTGCAGGCTTTCTCGGTTTTTGGTTTAGTGATGACGTCTGTATCCTAAGAAGGTAGCTTAAAATGACTGAAAACCGGTTTCCTCTTTACTCTGAGATTTACATCAACGCTAGAAAAGAGCTACAGCAACATATTCTGCTCGGTTCCTTGTATGTCTCCGTATTTCAGAACACAGTGTTCCTAAACTTCTGCAGCCTAAGCAATTTCAGTTTCCAAAATCCCCTTCTTGGTCTTCCAGCTGGGAATTCAGATCAGCCGAGTGAAATCTCAGCAGCTCCATGCCGGGTTTTGTCCCCCCTCCCCCCCCCGGATAAAGGCTTCTTCCCCGTCCCTGGAGCCACTGCACACCCCGAGGACAGCGTGGCTTGGGAGGAGCAGTTGCCTGCAGATCAAAAGCACAGATGCTTCCCCGAATCGCTGTGGTTTCCGTGCCCGAGTGCAAAGAGGGAGCAACGTTCCCGTCCTCTCATTCCCAGCCAGCTCCCAGGACGGATTTGTTCTCTCGCCTCTAGCGTTCAGAGAGCGCCTGAATTCCCAGCTCTCCTGCGGAACTGCTGCCCTGAACTCTCCGCTGGATGCAAACGTGAGGAAAGCCCGGAGGATCGTTCCCAATCTTCTGGCTTTCCGTTATGCTGTAAATACCACTGGTACATGTCCTATTTGTGGTTCATTTTCCGAGAGATAAACCGGCCTCCTCTCTCTGCCTGCATTTAGTCCAGTTAATGCTTTCCCCATCACTCTGTTAAATGTAAACATTTCTTTCTCGCGGTATTAAGTCGGTGCTTACCAACCAACGGGCTCTGCCTGAGTGACCCCAGACCTGCGGTGAAATCTTCCCAAATCCCCCAGGGATGGAGTGTGGCATCAGCGGGCTGGGGACAGCCTGGGAGACCGTCTCCCTCCTTCACATCCCCGGTTCTGCCTTGTGCTTTTGGCGTTTCCAGACGGTTCTCGATGCGGCAATTCCCAGCACATCCCTTGGAAAGGCTTTGAACGAGGGCGTATGCCAGTGCAACCGGGACATTTCGGCCGAGCTCGCAGCTAATGTCAGCCATGCAGCATCTGACTGGTGCTCACTGGGCTCTCCCTGCTTGGGAGCTCCCCGCCCAGCTGCAGCAATACACGCACAGCGCTGGCCAACAGCGGCACTGGGCGTCCAACGCAGGAACTGCACAGGGGCGTCTACCCCCGAGTCTCAGCACGCATCTCCTCCGTCAGGTTCTGGCTATTGCTAGGGCAGATTATGAAACGCATTTCCCACCTGAAGTCTTCGGCAAAGAAACGCACTTTCTTAGTACTTATTGAGGCATTTGGTTCGGCACTAATAATCCAGGCAAGTATGAAACATCTAGAAGGCGTCCTATGCAAACCTTCTGTCAAATGTGCTTAACAAAGGTGTGTGCTATGGGCAAATGTAGCAAGCATTGCTCAGGTGTTGCACATAACATCTTCCAGAAGTCAGAGAGACAATGGAGGCGTTTTCAAGCACAGGCTGGTTGCGAGAGGCTCAGAGTTTTGGATATTTTCTATTTCACGAGGAGACCTCCAATTATTCTATGTCGTCTCCTAGAGTGATCTGGAGTTAAGAACCAATTCAGTATTAATAGCAGCATGAACTCCACCTCCCCTCGGATCAGCTGTGATGGATTTTCAAAGAATATCTTAAAGAAGGGAGTGCAGGTATCGCTCTGCGGACAGATCTCAGATCTCCTCTTGGTCCAGAGACTACTTTACTGTCAGGATTCTGGTGTTCTGATCGAGGCAGAAATGCTGCTCGTTCCTCTCAGACACAATGTGGGCCACATTTTCTCCTAGGTAGCAGTATTTCCTTTCTACTAACACCAGTTTGTGAGGTTATCATCTGCTCTAAAATCCCCGCTGCATACCTTCCAACTTCGAAGAGTAAGGGGAAATTCCCCGCTTCAAAAGCCTGAGTTCATATACCTTCTCAAAGACATTCTGCACTCTCCAGTCTCCAAAGATAATGCTGGAGAGAAAATACCTGCCAGATGTCTACCCAGACCTTTTCCATCCTACATCTTTTGAAGGCAATGGATTCTTGCTCTCTTCTCTCTAGCCATGACAATCTCAGTACTTCTCATTTGAAAATAAATCTGCTCAGCTTCAACACTTTGCTACTATGAATGCCTTTTGAAGCCAAGTAATTATTCTCATCTTCATAAACTTTGTGCTTA